GCTTAAGAGTAAGACATTCCTCTTTTCATCTTCTCTTCTTTTCTCAACAGAGGTTTCTTTTCTAACGCTAATGTTTAAGCGTTTAACGAACATCGTTCTGTGGAAACTATAAATTACATCATAGTGCAGTGAACAATGAGGTTGAAAATCATTCGCGAATACTACTCAGATGTCTTCAAAAGCCGCATCCACCTTCCGTCACATGAAATAGAGCAGGATGGATATGTTGTACCGCGGGTTCTCCCTTCGGAAATCCGACATACCATTTCGTTGATGAGAAATCGAACAGCGCCAGATCCGGACAGGATAAGACACCTGAAGAACATTCCGCCAGCCCTCTTAAACACACTAACTTGGCTCTTCACGCGTCACCTGTCTGGATGCAAGGTGGAATGGAAGCTCACTGGAAGACCAGCAAGAACGTGTTATTGTTCAAGAAGGGTGACCTACACGATATCGGCAACTAAGGCCCCCAATTTGCATACTGTCTATCGGCTACAAACTTTTGCTCGAGTCATCCTAAGCAGGACTGAAAGAACATTGGGCCTTCACCATGTGAGTAAGCAGGGTTTCAAAAAGGATTTAATACGATGGACCACATACACACGATAACAAGACTCACTGAAGTATCACGAGAGTACAAAAGGCCGCTCTGTCTCACTTTCATCGATTTACAGAAGGCTTTTTATTCAGTTGAGAGAGAAGCAGTCTTGGAAGCCCTTGATAGTCAAGGAGTCCCTACTCAGCACATAAAGATTTTTCGTGAGTACAAATTTGTGTACTTAAAAATTTCTCAACCAAGGTATCACCACTCCACAACGATATTAACATTGACGTCAAAAGAGGAGTTAGGCAAGGCGATAGCATCTCGCCAAAATCATTTACTGCCACCTTCGAGGGCATCATGCGAGCATTGGAATGAGATAATATGGGAGTGAAAATCGATGGTGGGCACCATCTTCGCTTTGCTGATGACATCGTGCTTATAACAACAAACATTAGCCAAGCGGAACGCATGCCTGCCGATTTTGATAAGGCCTGTGAATAGATTGGTCTTCGATTAAACCTCAGAAAGCGATGTTCGTGAGGAACGGATTGGTATCGTATATCCCTTCACGCTCAATGTTATGTATGTCTCCGAATGCTCCAGTCACCTCTATCTATGTTGGGAAATCAATGTGATGAACGACTTAGCCCCAGAGTTAAGCAGAAGGAAACAAGCAGAAGGCTTGGGGAGCTTTTAAGAGAATCGAGGATGTAGTTAAGAGAACGAAAAACATCCAACTCCGTGCCATCTTTTCGACTCATCGGTATTTCCTGTCTTAACGTATGCGTCAGAAACCTGGTCGTTGCGTAAGCAAGGTGAAAGATCACTGAGCGTTATTGAACGCCCAGTCGAGAGGACGATGCTAAGAGTATCGCGTTTCACACAAGTGAGTGAAGTGATCCGAAGCTCCGACCTGCATCAACGATTAAAAATCAAAGATGCCGTTCTGTACACCAAACAGTCGAAGATAGGGTGGGCCAGAACTGTAATGCATATGGACGACTACCGATGGACAAGAGCCATTAGTGACTGGCTTCCTCGTGATGTTAGACGCACTGCAGGAAGACCACCGACCCGATGGTTGGAGTTCTTCACGAGGTGCCTAGAAAAAAGATGTGATGTTCAACGAGTCCCAGGAGCGAGCAGAACCCACTGGGCTACTCCTGCACCCGACAGGGAAGAGAGTGGAAGATTTACTGGCACTCGTTCGAATCACTAGACGATCAATAGGGCTATGGGTGATGCAGGTAATACAAGATCTACACATTTTTCCCAACGAAATACATGTTAATTTATATCGGACGCACCAAATTTTAGAAATCTGAAGGCCATGAAGTCGCTGAAGGTAGTTTAGGCCTAAGCTTGGCTTCTGAAGCATTTCTTGCGCGGAAGCTTGTCGAGATGCTCGAATAGTAATGGTTCAGGAACGACAGAATGCCAAATACGGTGAATGACGGAGGGCTTCGTAGTCCAGCTTGTTCAACTTCTAAAGCGCCAGTGGTACAAATACGAAAATGTTTTTATTAAAAGGAAGTAATAGTGCACACGATAGGACTGACCAGTTAGAGCTCACCCGTTGATGCTCATGGTTCATTTCTTCTACTTCCTGGACTTGCTTCTCCGCCGTTATCGTTTACCAGGATTTAGGTGGCTTTGATTGATTAAACTATCTGTAAACCACCCAGCGCTCACTGTCACCTCTTTTTGGCGGTATTTTGGCTGGGAACTGTTAAAGAGCTCATCGAGGTGCACTGAGCTCACCGTCGCCGGTTGTTGTATAGGATCCATTTCTCACCACACGTTGCAATGCGGTTTTTCCTTTTTTTTCACCGAATAATTAAAGTATTCTAATATAAAATACTTCCAGGCTTTGAGGAAGGCGAAGTCGCAGAAACGTCAGCCATCGACCAACAACACAAATAACAACGACAACGAAGACCTTTACCAACCTCGCATGAGCATAAGAAGATCAGTTTATAAGAACATATAAAAAAATATTTCATGCTAATTGTAAAGGAGCGCGTGTAGTGCAGTGATCGGAGGCGCCCTGCAATACACACGGGATCGATCCCTGCGCCCTAGGGCCCACCAAGTCCTCCATCCCTCCGCGTTGACAAATTTGTGCCAGACTTGTCTAGAACGATAGCAGCACTGGCTCAATACAGCGGTAGGCCACGGCGTGTCATGTATTGGCCCAATAAACATTCAGTCACCTCTTACTATACTTAGTGAAGTCGAATGAACGGTGCATAACTCAGAGATTGATTGCGGGATCAACGCTGAGAGCTTTGTTTTTCCTAATCATTTAATCCAATCGTTCAAACCAATACGAGGATCCGCCACCCTCCTGGTATCAAAGTCGCATGGTGGCAAATTTCCCCCTGATCCACAAGAGCTGCGACTGCCTGTTGTGGTGACGACCTGGGGCAGACTTTGGCCAGGCTGACCTTGGGATTCCGGGAAACCACAGTGGCTTAACAAACAAATCTTCGAAAAATGGTGATTATGTTGGAGCCCGAACAACTAGTGACGATGAGCCGTTCAAGTATCAAATAAGTAAGTAATTCAATTGTGCGGGTAAAAAGTGCATAGAATGACCTTTGCAATAATATGTAATGTTTGAGCATTCGAAAAGAAAAGTTGTTGCTAGGACATATGCAAGAAAACTGAGACAAGAAATTTCGCACTGATTTCCGAACGGCCTAATATAACCAGCATATGAGCATAAGATTGAGTTCATACTTCAACAAATGCTATCTTTTCGGGATGCAGCAGTTTACACTTTTAAAGCAGTGCGGAGACAAGCCGACAGTGTGATTAAAAGTAAATGGGAAAGAATGTGTAATGTACTCCATAGCGATTCAAACGTCGTTTAATGAGGAACTACTTACCAAATCAGCTTACGTGTTTTTAGTTCACGTCAAGAATCTGTGCTTGCGTCCACATGCGAATTAAGAGCGAATCTCGCCGGTGTCCGCATGTGCTTTTATATCACACAAACGGAAGATCGGTATGAAGAAGCGAACCCATGGAAATTTTTACTATTATGGCAAATTGGGAATATTGTTCAACATTTTTTTAAAAACTATTCTTTAGTGTGCATTTCGTTCACAGCTGGGTAATGAAATACCACCACGTGGATGTTGAGATATGGCCCACATAAGGCCCGAGTTTTTCTTATATCTTAATATCTTTGTCGTTGCATTTCATATTGTTCAGCTATGTTATACCTACTCGGATCGTCGTGGGGCTCAAAAGAGTGAAGGGCGGATGGAGAGCTGCTTAATGATAACACCAGATGAGGCGTGGCAGTTGCCACAAAACAGAATTGTTGCCTTTCGATTGATCACTGTCGCTCGCATATGTGTATATGCAGTTTATGATGTATTTCCTGTCAACAATCTCTTATCGTAATTGTTTTCCCAGAATTGGAGTAATGGCTGATAAGTCCGTCTTCTCCGTACTAAAAGGTTACAATAACTACTTTATGATGCAAAGTTACTCATCGCGCTTTATTCTTACATAGGACATCGTTGACCGGTGTCCGGAATCCACTGTTCTTCAAATTTAGCCTCTATGAGAAAACGGATGATTTTTATCGTGGAAAAGAAGATTTGATAATATCGATCTAATTCATTTTCATTTCGTCCATGTGGCGCCTATATGTTGACCTTTTCTAAGAGTACAATTCGGAACACAGGCTCCAAAATTGTTGTTTTACATGCAGGTAGCTCTTCCGAAAGCTAGCGAGCTGGCTTCTGTGTGTGTGTTTCGGTGAGTATCTCCAAATGGTTATCTTCAATGAAAGTGGGTCCTTCCCAACTCTCGTCATCTCTGAGGTTCTCATTGCGATCACGAAATTTTTGAACAGAACATTTGCGTATATATAATGCTGAGATATTTGCAAAACTCCGGACCGCAGGTGTATGCGGTGGGGAACGAACGAGCGCTGTTGTCCTTGCCGGGGAGCAGCGCACTTCACCACCACACCATCCGGGTCCTTCGTTTTGCCTGTCTCAAAAAAAATTGATAGAACTAGCTGAGAGGCAGGCAAAACGAAGGACCCGCATGGTGTGGTGGTGAAGTGCACTGCTCCCCGGTAAGGACAACAGCGCGCGTTCGTTCCCCACTGCATACACCTGCGGTCCGGAGTTTTGCAAATATCTCAGCATTATATATGAGTTATATTTCGCAACATACTCTGCCATTAAAAAAAGAAAAAGGCAGTAAATAAAAGGGTAAGGAATAACTTAGTTTTTGAATAGTTGAAAAAACCATGACGTCTACAGCACTATACTAGCATACCTTTTAATCGATTACATAATTGCATCTACAGAACAACATGAGAGGTGTTCACTTTCAGAGAAAGCGCCGAAAACCAAGCATGAGAATCTCACTACGAAATAAAAGCTCTTTATGCAGCACTAGTATAAATTCTACCAACATTCCTTACCAAGAAACAACTTTCATGTCCAGTACACTACACAACGTAACTGGAATGTACTGAACAAGCTCCATTTTACTGCTAGGTAACTGCAAGCGACTGAACTCGTAACTGAAGTTGTACCTGAATATTCATTATTTTAAGCACATTATTTCACCAACACTGAATTACCTTCTCCTTTAACCCTTACAGCACAACACGCATTGATTCCAATATGTAAGTTACGGGCCGTATATGTTATTTTCAATGTGCTCGCTTTCCTTCGGATATAGTTAGCAGCAATAAACTTTTTTGTCAGATTGTTTGCTGTGGATCAACAGCTTGTCGAACACAGATTTTTCAGGAGGTCAAACCATGGATAGGTGTTCTGGAGGCGTAATACTTGCGAAAAAAAACTTTTGGACGATGAAGAGGAATAGCTGGATTTGAAAAATGTAGAATAAACACAAAATACCCTTCAAATGTCGGAAAAACCATGCAGAAAGCTAATAATACCTTGGTTAGATAATGGATGAGGTTTTCTTTTATCAAACACAAGAGTTGTCCAAAACAATGGAACATATACAGAAGAATACAAAGGATGCTTAGAAGCCAGATAGACAAGGAAAATACGTAAAGAATTGAGCAGTAGAACGATAACCTCAAGAAATCTACACACCATGCATTTTCCGGGGCTTACAGGTAGTACATCTTGATTTTAATGCGCATTTAAATTGCGCCCCAACAACACGCGGTCCAATATGCGCGACATGCGAAAATGGCCATGGTCGCGAAAGGATTAAAAAATACAGATTGACCAAAAATGAGTAGAAGTTACTTTGCGATAATTCCAGTTTTCCCAGACAGTAAGTTTCGCGTAAGTGCCATCTTTTCAGCACCCGTCGTTTCACGACCGTCAGTGGGACGCTGAAGCAAATTGTATATTTGAATATCTTTTTAAGTAATACACTACGTTTTTCGTAATAATGGATGAATGATTCGTTCTCAACTGAGATTACCTGAATACGCTTCACAGAAATAGTACAAGAGCGCGTGTGGCGCAGCGTCCTGAGGTGTCCTGCAACACCCATGGGATCGATGCCCACGCCTTTGGCTCACCAAGCCTTCCATTTATCCATGGTCGGCAAAATGATACCAGACTTGTCTGAGGAGATAGCAAGACTGACCCGATACATCGGTAGGCCACCTCGAGTCATTGTAAAGGCCAGATATGCATTCATTCACCTCCAACGATACTTACTGAAGTCGAATGCATAGCGCATCCCACAGGGAATGATCAATGCTGGGAGTTTGATCCCTTTTTAATACGAGAAATGAAGTAGAGAGCTGAAATGAGTTCAGAAAATCACAATTGAGAACGAGTAGTTGTTTAGAATGGCAATTTTGAACTGGTATAAATAAGCTCAAAGCCAGTATTATTAGTCAACATAGAAGTTGGAATACACACGTTCCCTGGGATCAAAACAAGTTTATTATTTAGATGATTTACATATAAAGTTCTGGAAACAACGAACTCTCAATAAGCAATTCTTGAACAGATTTAGTTGTCGAAGACTTCCTTAGAAAATAGCTGTCACTTTAAAAAAGTAATCGTTAGTTAATAGGAAGCACGACGGGTAAGCTAGTGAAAGAGCTTAGTAACTTAATTCACAATAGTAGCGATATTTGTACAATATCATTGGTACTTTACTGGATAATTCAGAACCAAAAAGTCATCGTGACCACTCTTTGATGTAAGTTCTGCTTCCTAAAACGTCTACAAACTCATTCCATTTAAACCCTCTAAGTGAACGCTGTAGTTTAAGGAATTCTTATCTTGTCATAATGCAAATCTGAAATGGTCTTTGTTGTTATTTTGAAGGAGCGTGAAAGACTTCCTAGAAACGCTCTCAATATCAGACGTTCAAATCCTGTGTCAACTACTTATCAAGCTTTTCCACCTTTTCAGAATCTGCCAAAGAAGAGACTATTATATTCTGACAGGCAGGTTTGTGGGAAGCCATCTCGATTATCACGCTTAGACAGTCGTTATCAGTTGCTCGTGTACTCATTCAGCCTTCTGCATCATGAAGACTCATGTCTCCGGTGCGAAACTTTTGAATCGCCAGAGTACGAGGGATTCAGGAGTCCCTCTGTGACTGCGCTACGATGACATTTCGAATTCCTTCAGTTGTTTGACGTCCATATTTGAATTCATAAACCAAAACAATACGATTTTCATGACTTCAGTGTCATTTTAACTAGTATATGGCCATTCGTACGATAATCACATAACTATAAAACTCTCAAAACTCACCAGTTTTTCACAATCAGCATGAAGAATCGCGATATGCATCCCAATATATGTTGTTAGTGTCAAGATGGACATAAAAAAACAAGGTTTGGTACAACATAAAACGAACAAAACATTTAGATAAACCATAAAAAAGTACAATGCTATAATATTACGCTCTAATGACCTCCTGTCCATGGAAACCACCACTTGAAGTCGACTGGAACATATTGTGTCGACGACGTTAACGAAATTGGGAATGTCGATATCAACCACGAGTATAATACTCTCATTCTAAAGTAGCAAACGTTTGATACGTTAGACAGCACCGTCAGATTCTACACTTTATCAAGTAAATAAAAAACCCACACTCCGATTTAGTAGTTCTGAACACTGCGCTAGAGTGCGATGACGGTCCCTGTGCGCTGGCGCTAAAGTAAACATTGCATTAATGATTAATAAAACATTTAAACTATATCGCAATATTAACCATTTTATGTACTGCCTGCTACGATTTTTCATGACAGGGTATTTTGCGTGATACAACTAAAATGATGCTGAGGCATTAGCGAAACTCCGGACCACAGGTGTTCATGGTTAAGATGGAACACGTCATCACCCTTTCCGGGGGCTCACCTGTTCACCAGCATACTATGCAGGTCCTTCGCTTCGCCTTTCTCCCAGGTAGTTTTCCGATTCCGATATGCTTTCTCTTTCTTTTCTACTCTCCAGATCAATCTCGTTAACACATGATTGATGATGGTACTGCTAGATAGAAAAGTAGCCAAGAAAGGTGAAACGAGGTACCCCCATGAATTCGTTAGCTGCCTGAAAGGGTGTAATACCCTTTTCGATACCCACTGAGGACACCTGCGGTCCGGAGTTTGTAAATACCTCAGCATCATTGTGGTTGTACTTAAACGATAGTTTATTAAACGATATAGGATTGATCCATTAAAAAAAAATTCGTCTCCTTATGTGTGTAGTTACTACCTGCAACTTACGTGCTATATCTGGTAGCACCCTTATGATGGCATCACGAAGTTGAGGAGTATGCAGTGATTCACATACCACACGAGACAGATGTCCATTCTCACATAGTATTAAGCACCTCACAGGAAATGCTGTAAACCACAAATCTTCAAAAAGTTCCATAAGGATAAAACAAGTGATAAATGAGATAAGAGACCACTACGGAATCTTGACTATTCAGCATGCGTTTTTCGTTAAAGTTCCTCTAAGGATGGGTTTAAACTTACAACACTTTTCCAGAACACTCCTAAGTCGTGAGAACTTCGGATGAGAAGTGAATGACTGGTTATTGAATGAAATTTCGAAAGGAGCATCTTAATGGAAAATGTTACGCTATCACAATGATCGATTAACACAGTCAAAAGCGTACCGAAAAAGGTTACGAGGACACTTCGAATATTTCTTCACTTACCATTATTATATGAATATTTGGTCTGTATTTTCCCATATATCGCTGATAAAACAGTGTCACTAAGGACCGTGAGTTCTATATTACCATCGTTGGAATCTCTGCTAGCATTGCGAAATGAATCTAAAACGTATAACGTTTTAACGCTTATTTACTGCGTATTCTTTTTTCGTTGCAGGTACGACACGAAGTACAACCATAGGGATGCTGAGATACAAGCAAAACTTGCGCTCCTAATTGAGCTTCGAATCTGTGATTGAGAAAAAGACAAAGCAAGGGCCTCTGTTGTTGTGGTGAATAGCTCGTGAGGGTAACCACGGGTTCGAAGTCCACCTCAGGTGCCGAGTTTTGCTCACATCTCAGCAACTAGAATTTATAATAACAAGGAGGAAAATACAGTTGTGCAATACCGAACAAACAGCTTTTAATTAAAAAAAACTTGTCAGTTAGTTTTAATATCGGTCGTCAAAACACTCAGTTAGTTATTAAAGAGAATAAAAATTTAGTAAAGAACAGGCATCATAACGATAACGGTGCTTTAGATAAAGAACGAGCTTTGCAACGTAAAACAACGAAGTTTAATAACCCTGACCAGCACAATACAAGTAGAAAACTCTTGGACCGTGAATCACAATGTTCCGCGTGGCTTCCAGAAGAAAAATACAACTCATTACCATTTGCGCTGTCTCACCCGTACAAAGCTTCGCCTTCTAAGAAAAAAAAATTGCAATGAGAGTAGCAACAAAGAAATGAAGATCCAAACCTTACTGAGATTATCGGGGTCCAGTCAATTGTGAAAAGTTCTTGCGGGTTGGTTGATGGTAGGGGAATGAGAGTGTGAAGCTTCTCAAGATGTATCACTACTCTCTGGAACAATATAGAACCCAATAGGGTAAATATCGTTAAGAGAAAACGTTTTGAGATAGCCAACTGATATACTTATAGCCATAGATTGCTGCTCAAACATAGTTTATAGTTCTAGGTATTTCCAAAGTCATCGATAAGAACAGAACTTCAGTAATTGCGATCTTCGCAGTTTCCTATCACCTTAGAACACCTGCCTCAATCCATTTCTCCGTGAAAGATACCAATTCGGATGTCCCATCCGTAGTGCTGTAGTAATCGACCGAAATTTCTAACGGAACAGCACTACTTCTGGAAAGTAACAGGCTTTTAAACACTGAGGTAACAGGAATGCTTCCAACCCCACCTGAATGAAGGATCCAAGGCGGATGGTTCAATCCACTGAGATATAATTAGGGAAGTGATGATTTGTTGCCGATTTCGCAAAGGTTTAAGCTTGCGAGAAGTTGACGGAACGGAAGGAGTCACAAGAATTACTCGAAAAAGGATCTGATATTTCTGACATCAAGTCATCTGAGTTACTAAGTCTATAAGAGGAAAAACTAAGGCATCAGAAAAAAAGACATGACCAAGTGGTGGTTAGATAATCATATTAGTGGTACAATGGAGAAGTTCTAACTAACCCCTTTCACTGTTAAAACTCCTACGATATTTCTGCACTTAGTCAGTCGAGAACCTTCGTAGGCATCAAGGGATAATATTATGCAGCGAATATCGCAGACAAACGATGAGTTCGACTCTATGATCTTCTCTAATGCCTTAACGAAATACTTCAATGATGAACCATTGAAATCAGCAATATTTTCACGACCGAGTTTCTTTTAACCTCGGTATTAATTCAATAATTCTTTATAGACTTCATGAGCAAACACGAGATGTTACATTATTCTTTACTGACGGAAAAGCTGAGGTTTCGGAGAATTTCGCTTTCATCAGAGCCTGGAAACGTCAAGTTGACTGCATAATCAAACAGAGGAAATGCTATTGGCAGCATTTCTGTTTACTTCTCTGTTTGGTTATGGAGGTCTTTGGCTGGATAGATTGCAGTCAACTTCACGTTTCCAGGCTCCGAGGAAGGCGAAATCCACCGAAACACCAGCCTTATTGTAAAAAAGGCTAATGTAACACTTCGTGCTTCCTCAATGGTATTTGTTGGCGCAATCATAGACTCATTTAGAAGTTCCCTTCTAGATATACAGCTTACACGACCTATTGTTATACGAAGAAGTATCTATTAAATAAGAGAAGATGCAAAAACACATTGAAGCTGTGAAAATCCATCTCACATTTCTATCAATAATCACATAACATCATCAATCCCATAATCATATTCACCTAACTAGGCGCGCGTGGCGTAGTGGTTGGAGGGGCCACTGAGACACACACGTGGAATCGATGCCTGTGCCCATGGCCCGCCAACCCTTCCATCCCTCCGAGATCAGCAAATTGGTACCAGAATTGTCTGGGAGAATAGCAGCACTGGCTCGATACTTCGGTAGGCCACCGCGATTCATTGTAAAGGCCAGATATGCATTCAATCACCTCTAACGATACTTAATGAAGTCGAATTCATGGTCCATTCCTCTCGAATTAATCAACGCCGAGAGCTTTTTTTAAAACAAGCACATAACAAATCTTTACAAATCTAATTTCAGTGGTAGAATCTAGAACTTAGAACCTTAAAAAATTGAGCAGTGTTGTTGTGCACGAATTGAGGCTCAATGCTGCGCTTTTATAGAATTGTGTAGCTACCAAAAGCAGCTGTACTAAATAAATTTTGTTGACACTTCTCTGTTCCAGCTCACTTCCCATGAAACATTACTTAGATACTTACTTGGACGACCCGTCCTCACTGGTTGTGCGGACCCCAACATAATCACCATTTTTCGGAGATCTGCTGGTTAAGCCATTGTGGTTCCCTGGAATCCCGAGGACAGCCTGGGCAAAGTCTGCCCCAGGTCGTCACCACGACAGACAGTCGTAGCCCTTGTGGATCAGAGGGAGGTTTGCCACCATGCGACTTTGGTACCAGGACGGTGGTGGATCCTGGTATTGGTTTACCCTCAGCTAGGCTTCGTGATGAAAATGCCGGACTCCTCAGCTTGGGAGACCCTGCCAGGAGGACGAATCCCCCGTTGTACTCGCATTCCGACACCCAGGAACACCTTCCAGCCCCGATGAGACTGTAAGCCGTTAGGAGGGACGATAGGTACTGTTCTTAAAAAAGAGAACAGTGAGAAGAAACGAAAAAAGTGAAAATTAATTAAAGCAGTGTCAGAATCGGTAATGGAACAAATAGATGTAGAATGGAGAACATTTATAACCTCAAAATAATAAATTTCATTTAAAAAAAACCTGAGGTGTCGTGACAACCAGCCGACCTATGTGGTGTTCTTCTGTCTTTTTAAATGTCTTAAATGTATCCACAATGGAAACCTACAATAAAAATATCACTGACAGGAAAATTGCCGCATAAAACAGAAACAACGCTCTTTAATCGTCAAGTATTGTTGGAATAACAACGAACTTCTTCAAGTGGAATTCCAATTGCTTTGCAGCGCTCCTCAAACAAATGAGCTGCCTCTAGACTACTACAACAGAAGATTGCACGGCTGCGTGGAAACCACCTGAAACACCTGGATATAGGAAGGAGAAAAAAGAGTACGGGTGAAATTAAGGTTATCCTTCCAGTAACACGTAGCCTGTTATTAACGCTCTTCTACACATGGTAAAAATAAATGATCCTCCCAACGGTTTACCACTGCCTCATCGTGACTGGGAGGTGCTCCGTGTTCCTGGGTATCGCGCTTCGATGTGCAGCAGTGGAATTTATACTCCCGGCAGGATCTCCCAAGATTAGGAGACAGGCGTTTCCATCGGAAAGCTTACATAAGAGTAAACTAATACCAGGATCTACCACCGTCCTGTTATCAAACTGGTTGCATGGCGGCAAATCTCTTTCTCTGATCCACAAGAGCGGCGGCTGCTTGTGGTGGTGAGCTTGGTCAGACTTGGGCTAGGCTGACCTCGGGTTTCCAGAGTGCCACAATGGCTAAATCAGCAAAATTTCGAAAAAATGGAATGTATGCCGGGTCCAGCACAACGAACAACCAGTGAGGACGTGCCAATCAAGTATCCAATCAGTAAGAATAAATATGAAACTGGTTAATCTGTACAATGTCTTTCAAAGATTAGCTCGTGCAGAACTAATTGGTTTGAGCTCCACAAGCATGCCTAGCCCAGATATTTCATTAGGACAAAACTTTCGCAGGATTCAGAAAGCCAAAGTGATGCGCTAATGTACCATGTCATAACATCACTGAGTCAATTAAATGTTCCCTAAACAAAACACGATGTGGACTGAAGTTATCAAGCAAATACAGACCTCAAGAAATTCATGACCACTACTGCACAGATATGGTCAGCCGAAATAGCTAATGGAAGACAAACGGCTGAATTCTCGGCGGTGCACAACTTCACAATATCCATCTGGAAACCCAAGGACATCAAGTCTGGAAAGTTCCGACCAATAAAATTTTGTTCCATTTGAAAAGCTCTAGGTGGCTAAGTGATCTGGGAAAGGTAAAATCAACAATTTATCCATTATCAATCAACTAGCATATACATTTTAAACTGCGTAAAGCTACAAATACTGTCAATATTCTGGTACCTCGTATTGACGGCAGTGTTCATTTGCGGGATAACGAATAGTTGAGCCTTCATGTGGGTCAAATCCGGCCTTTTCAAGCTCAGCTTCACTGAAAAAGCGTCTCGTCCGACAAAACTAGACACTCTATTCCAAGGCTACCAAATTTAATCTACTAGACGATGCTAAACCCCGAGTCACTTCATAATATCCCAAATTTAAATCAAATCCATGTGGATATGGTAGCAAAACTACTGTGAAATACTCAGTTTTACGAAGTTAACAGTTAATAGAAACCTTAGCCACAATGTTTCTTTCCCCAATTTTTCAAAGCTAAATAAAAAAGCATCGAGTTTCTAGTGCATCCAACATCAATATTCAGCAAAGAAAGAAAGGCCATGGCTAGTGAATCTTAGGCAAACCTCTTTAAAGTACAGCTGCTATTCGGAACAATAGTCTTCCCAAGCAAATAGCGTTAAATACCAAGGTTAAGAGAACGTGGAAAATAGCACTCACATTCGTTCTCGGGAAAAAACGAGTAGAATAAGACCTACTTAGTTAAATTTGAGCTGTGGTTCGCCTGAATGTACGCACGATTTGCCGATAGATTCTGGTTTGGTTTTACAAGGTTTACAAGGAGGTTAAAAGTACTTATACTGTCGGTACAAGTAAATACGCAGTACTTCCATATGCCGATTTCTAAGCAAGACAGTGAGCATTATACAGGGTAGTCCAGTGTATTATCCACCAGTTCAACAACTTTATTATTTAACATAACAAAAAAACTGCTGAAAGATAGCTCTCATGTAAACAGCACCGTACCGAAGAATCGCTCCACTACTTTCTTCCTACCTTGCTGGACTAATGTGCCGCAACGGAGTCGGAACACTTTTTGACGGTGGAGATGGATCCGACGTTGTCGAGCGACGTAACAAGGGTGCCCATTTTGAAACATTTCCACCGGGCGAATGCTGGCTTCCTTAGAATTGTTAAAATTCCCCGAAAATGATAAAACTATGCTAAATTACAAGGAGTAACTTACCAAAAACCGAGAATGGGGTAGCGTTGATATGTTCCAGTGGACTATCAGACAATGTAATAACTTCATCTAAATGAAAAAAAAACTTCATTCGTCCAACGGCTCACAGCACATCTAAGGAAACTTTTGAGTATAATTCAACTTGCGGTTAATAGGACCCAAAAAGTATATTAGAAACAGCCTAAACGTAACATAAATAGGACAAAGTTACAATATATTTAAACCATTATAGAATCGATACATTCTGAAACTAAAACAACACCCACCTCCGACAGTTTACCGCCTTCTGGTGCTCGGGAGGTTTTCCTAGGTGTGAGCTGCGCCGTATAGCGGGGGGACCCGCTCCCCCTTCCAGCAGGCTCTCCTATGCTGAGAAGGAGTCCAGCGTTTCCATCAGGAAGCCCAGATAAAACTAAGCCAATACCAGGATCCACCACCGTCCCGGTATCAAACTAGTCGCATGGCGGCAAATCTCCCTCTCATTCACCAGGGCGGTGACTGCCTGTGGTGGTGATGATCTGAGGCAGACTTTGGCTAGGCTGACCTTGGACTCTGGAAAACCACAATGGCAAAACCCCAAAAAGCGGAGATTATGCCGGGGTCCGCATAACCAATGAGGACGGGCCTTCCAAGTATCCAATTAGATAACACCCAACAATACTAGTTCAAATATACCTTGATTTCTGATGAACTCATTCGTGTTCTGTTGTTGGCCACTTGCCCAAAAGTGGTGCAACGACGCCATCTTCGATTTCGGAGCTCTTTTCATTTTACCTAGAAAACGTAAATGTAACTACATTATTGCACTTGAGTGTTCAGATTCATACCAGATCTTTAAATTCTCATCAGAATAGGGTCGCAGTTAGAGGACTCACCAACTAACAGACATGTAAACGTTTGACCTTTTGCAAAAGACATATTTAAAGGATCCGAGATTGTGGAATGGATGGATTACCCGAGCTTCCTGGGGTAGGAAAGGATTTTTAACCGTTAGAAACAAAGCTACGCTTCTATCCTTCTATTTATTTAGCGAAATAACCCATTTACACCCTAAACAACTAAGTCTAGTTAAAGATCGAATTCGAATCCGACTTCAGAAAGGTCCACACTTGCTTAGTCTAACACTAATAACAGTGGAGTAGATTACTTAGGCCAAGACGAAAGTTCTTTCGGTTACTCCAACGAGATCTTCTCAATTCAAAAACCAAATGTACTGGAGTAATTAGAAACCGTTCAGCACATAGATCCAAAAACATGTGCGTGAGTTCTTGCTAGATAGAAGATAGAAAGAAGCCAAAGCAGTATAGGGGCCACGTTCTCTAAGCGATCTCTACATAACTGATTTCGGTTCTCCAAACAATGCTCTCTAAACCGATGGCCGCTCTCTAAACGGTGTCTTCACAATCTCATAGAAAAACGTTTAGACTAAGAATGACAGAAAAATACTGTTAACGAAAGAACAACCTAAAAACGATCAAGAATGTTCGAAAATCGAAGATTCCTTCCGAAATCGTGTGGATGTCGTAATTGCACACTCTACAAATATCTCGCCTAAACATTAGTTTGTAAAAAGTAAGAAGTAACAACAATCTTTAAGTGTCTTCTTGCTATATAAGATACAGAGTTACAAATATGGAAGAATACGAATCCGTAATTTCCTTTCTTGTAAAAGTTATTTTGAGTCAACCTTTCCTTTATGACACCTGACACGAGGGCAGATAGCACAGTGGTAGTGGTGTCCGTCACCACGAGCACGGTTCTAGTTCGATTCCGTTCCGAGCCAACAAAGCCTTTCATCCCCCGGAGTCGGAAAATTGGTGTCGGACTTGTCCGGGAAGAAAATCGCTCTCTGCATTTCAACTGGGAGCGCTCCAGTCCGGCTATCTCAGGACTCCAGGGTGAATCTATTCTACCAGCACTCTACAACATTCAAGATGAAATGAAAATCTTCAAGTAGCAGCCGAAGGTACACTTAAAAGCTGGAAGATCGTGGACAATGGATGCGAGGAAACGGATCGAATGTGAGAAGTGCTGGGATGCGCACAGTATACTTGAAGACGGGTCAAATGAAACAAAATTTTAAAAAATGAGCCGAATATTGTTACTTTCCGCACATGCCACCTGCCCATTATCATAGTTTGGTCGTCCGAATCGCTTACACCTTTTAGATCTTACATTAGGATGTAAGTTACATCAGGCAATGTGGATTACTGATGGAATGCTATAGAAAAGCTGTGAGTCAAGAAATCAAGAAGGCCTGTGGAGGACTTCATGACGCCGTTGGCGGCATTCGTGCAAAGGCTCTCTTTTAGTGCATCGTAGGTGTTCAGATAGATCTTTCATTCTTGGTCTTTGTTACGAACAAAATCACTTATTAGTAGAGTTGGCGAGTACTGCATTCGTATTTGTTCGCATGACTACAGATACAGGTGTAGCGCAGTAGCTAGAGGAGCCCTGCTTTGCATACGCATTACTTTGTTCGATCTCGCTTCCCAAGTCCACCAAGCCTTCCATCCCTTCGGGTTCGGCAAATTGGTAGCAACCTTGTCTGGGAAGAGAGCAGCACTGCTTCGATGCATCGATACGCTCGGCGAATCATTGTAAAAGCCAGATATGCATTCAATCACCTCCAACGATGCTTAATAAAGTCGGATCAATGTCGCATCTCTCAGGTGTGCGATTAGCGCCAAATGCGAAATTTTGTACCCTTATGAGTACATTCACTTCAATTGGCTGGACGGTTACCTAAAAACAGTGAAAATGTTCAAAGTTCATTGTTTTCGAAAGATCCTCTTTAAAGTTGTAAATTTCGAATTGCTGCTTATAGCTACGTGTAAGGGTAAGGCTCTTGGCGTTGATCATTCCCTGAGGAATGAGCTATGCCTTCGACGTCATTACGCATCGTTTGCAGGTGATTGGATGCATATCTGGCCTTTACAACGACTCGCAGTGGTCTACCGATGTATCGAGCAAGTGCTGCTATCCTCCCAGACAACTCTGGTAGCAATTTGCCTACCCTAGAGGGTTGGAAAGCTTGGTGGGCCATGGGTGCCGGGATCGATTCCACGTGTCTGTTCCAGGGCGCCTCCGACCACTGCCCCGCACACGCCCAAATAGATAGTATAAATGAATGAATGTCTATGTTACATATATAGCGCTGTGTTTCTACGACCATACTGCAGCGATCTTCCCCTTGACCATTTCGAGCCGGTTACGCTTGAAAGTAGGCGGCGAATTCCCAGATAGTGAACAGGCGGTTTTCAGTACGATTTATAAGTGGTTACATACTTGTTCTGGGATGGAGTTGGATTGAGGGGATGAAATCCGTTTCTATCGAAAACTAAGCAGACTTACACCTTGCGTACATATGTAGACGTAATTATCTCCATGCACATGAGAACGTTTTTGTACATAAGGATTGTGTCCTACATCTGTTCGATGAAAGCACTGCTACCAAAGAACTGGCAAATACACAGGAAGTGATTCGACGTCGCATCTCACAAAAAGGAATCAAAAAACGTCGCTCTCTTGACTTGTGGCGCATACTAAATACCAGTCTTGATTGCAGGACTACAGAGACATTTTCAACCTCAATGATGCTGAAATATTTGCAAAACTTCGGACCGCAGGTGTCTGCGGTGGGGAACGAATGCATTGCTACCCTTTCCGGGGACTACCGCGTCCACCACCACACCATGCGGGTCCTTCGTTTCACCCGTCTCTCAGCTAGTTCTATCGATCAGCGCCATTAGCAATCACCCGTCAACGGGATTGATTTAGGGCGCTCAAATCGGCAACGAACCCAGGTAAGCTGAGGATGTAGTCGAAATCAAAATGTTAGCTTTTTATATACTGCCTATTATAACTTTTCATGGCAGGGTATTACGCGTGAAGCAACCACAATGATGCTGAGATATTTGCAAAACTCAGAACCGCAGGTGTCTGTGATGGGTTGATAAACTCCGGATCACAGGTTTTTGGGACATTTTCAGTATTTCACAGGCCTAATAAGTAGCCAAAATATGAAGGACTACTTGAATAATGATGACCTGTATTTGCCGCCTATATTTTCTACTTTCCGTGAAGGTCTGATTTTGCAGGGGAAGCTTACGAGGCTATCGAGCTAATCGATCCAGGAAGGTGTCACTCAATAAACATCCTTTATGAAATTGGAGTTATGGTTGTTCTCAGGAATGATCAATAGTAGAGAAGTGTCTAAAGTTGGTGTCCTCAACGCAATCTCAATCGTAATCGTCGAGTCCATTCAGCTACTGAGGAGCACCATTGCAATACTCCGGCCGAAAAGATGTTAACCAAACTTCGAGGGTATTCATGAGTGGTAATTAAATGTAATACATGCAATAGATATAAGTAATCGGTAATAATCAACCATAACTCGAGCGGTGATCCACTCCAGGAGATTCGACTCGGTACGACAACGAGGACCCCATATCGCGAGGACGAACAACTGTCGAGAATCGACTCCACCGAAACGTTATCGGAATAAAAACGTTTACCAACTTAAGGTTAGTTCATCAGTGATAAAAAGACGTTGACTACTTATATTAAGACTAAGCGAAAGTCGGTCTATAAAAGGAACTATATCCTTCGAGTAAGAAGAACATGTGGGACAACTCCGACATGGTCGAAAGGCGAATTTGCTCATGTGAGCTCAGATCATTGCCCGATAACGGGAAGATAAATGGACACGTAAACTCGCAGCTTGAATTTGCATATATGCTATTTCTGAACCATAAAAAATATATTTTTTACCGTCTTCGTCTTTCAGGAAACCAAAGGATTGTAGCGTTAGCTCTTAGTGTTAATTTCCACCATAAAAAATTGTACAAACCACATAGGTAGAACTAGCTCGGAGACAGGCGAAACGAAGGACCCGCATGGTGTGGTAGAACAGCGTTACCCCCTGGAAAGGGTAATGGCGCGTTCGTCTCCGCCGCAGACATCTGCGGCCCGGGGTTCTACAAGTATTTCAGCCTGTGAAAAATTATAATAGGCAGTAAAGAGAAAGTTAACATTATGCAAATTATGTCATAATTTGAAGACTGAAAAAAATAGACACTGTTTCAACAT